GCCGCTCCACGCTCTCAGAGTTGTGCAAAGACAAGACACGTTATTTCCGGTGCGATACAAGAGGTTCAATGGTTATCTCGATTATCTAAACACATTTATTAACGTGGTAAAGATTTGTTTTTAAATCTATGAACTGATGCTATTCCTATTTGGAACGAAATGTATTTGAAATAAAAAAGAATACTAAGTAAAATAAAAGTTGTCTGCAACACGAAGCATGCCTTCGCATTAAGGCTGAGAATCCTAATGTTTATTATGATACTTTAATGCATATGTTCAAATGTTCCCAAAAATCTTCTGATAATCTGCCCGCACCCACCCTCACCCCGCCCCTCGCCACTGAACCGTACTGTTTTCACTCAGCAGCTGGTCAGCGGTCACGTCTATGAGGTAAACAAACCGATCGATTCTGATCACCGTTCTTGTCGATCGGAAAATCAAAATACCAGCGTGATATTGCCGCGAAGATGAAGCAGTTATGTTATTTGATTCGTACTTCACATTCGAGTCGAAGCTTGGGTGGCACAGGCTATTTATTGCGGTGGAATCGACGAGGGGAATTCGAACACTAGTTGTAGTGTTTGAATTGTTGGAAGAAATGGTCGCATGGGGATGGTAAGTTTAACGAACAATTTCACATTTTGCCGCCTAAATTGAATGTAAAGTTCATTTGAATTGCTTTCGTATGTATTTCTGACGGTTTTAAATCTACCTGCTTGATTTATATCGGTTACGCTTCATGTTGACAAGTCCCTCAAAATGGCGGCCAAACTTGGAGATTGCCGAAAATTAGGTAGGTTCACGGAGTTATAAAGTTCTCGTATAGGTCGGGCCGCAAAGTTTTTTTCTGTAGTTACCTTTTCTATGGCACCTACTTCCTAGCTATGTTAGTTGGATCAGTTAAGAACGCCTCACTTTTTCAAAAATTTACCTTGAATTTGATCGGTTTTGGCGTGTGTGATTTAGGCGAACCGATAAGGTGTTGTTCAAGTCTTCCTGTTTCCTTTATTGACACGTGATGGTTACGAAAGTCGCCTCGATGGATAAGATAGAGTTAATATAAATGGCTGTGGTATTTGTTTTTTTTGCTGAGTTCCGTAGTTTTTTGTAAATTGTCCTCCAAAGTTGTATGAAATTAAAGTCTTGAAAAGTGTCACGACAAGCCTTCGCTCGAGTGAAATTTAATTTCCGTAAAACTCTGAAAAATAAAGAGATCCGATCTAACTGATTGTGGTTTTAGTATAGGTACATGAATGTCTTACAACACACGAGAAACGAGCGAAATCCGTGTCTCAAGCAAAATGGACGGGACCGCTCTTACAGAGACACTCTCTTAATTTGTTGCGCACGTATATTTTTATTGAAATGGTCTTAATCGATCACGGTACGGACAGCACGACATGCAGTCTCTGGGTTATTGTAAATCATTATAGATACCCCGTGCATAGATAAAAACTTGCTTTCTTGATCAAGTGGCGGACTGCCTAATTGACCGATTCTCAATGAAAATCATCGAACTCTGTCGCTGATAGAATCAGGACAACGATTTAACATGCAAATGACGCTCCAGAAATTTCAAAACTTGGAGCTAGTTGTTGTGAAACTCAGTGTATTGTGAGATCTCAACAAAAGCTACGTTGTAGATAAAGGAAGCATTTTAAGAGCCTTGCTTTTCACTCACCAAACTCATTGATCGAGGTTTAACTTTTTCAGCGGCAAACTCATGAGAAGGCATGATGTGATGCATCATGGATTCTTGCAGATGCATGTTTATCTCTGGAAATCGCTGCATTTCTTTTGTTTTTAACTCTTCAATCACAATCTTAACGTCTACCAGCCCCAGGCGAACAGCTCCGATAACTTTTCCAGCGACTGGCATCCTCTCTTCTCCTTTGTATTTGATCCACTTCATCACTGATTTGAAGACGAAAGCTTCAGAGGGTGAATTGAGGTCATCTCGACCAAGAAGGCTGAGTAGTTGATCTCCATTGATGTGACTTAGGAATTCTTTACTTTCGCAAACATCTTTGTACATGGATGCCATCTTGGCTTCTGCTGCCTCTTGCAGATCTCTCAGACCGAGTCTTTCGGCGATTGTACACAGCACGGAGTAGATCTCCAGGTCAATTCTGTTTTCTATGAATTCCTTCTTTACGAAATCACAACACAGTTGAACAACACTTGCGATTTGAAGCTGACTAGCAGCGAGAAGAACCTCAAATACGCTCTTCTGGTTGACATGAAGTTCACCACTGTAGATGGAGTCCATAACGATCTTGAATATCTCCGGTGAAATGCTTTTGTCTTTCATTTCGATCACTTCCTGGTTCGCTTCCTTCCCATCAGTAAATATGGAGTGGAAATAATCGCTATACGAAGCGAGTACAACTCGGTGAGCTGGGAAAAGTGTATCACCCACTTTTAAGCGAATGTCGATAAATTCACCTTCTCTACGGAACTCGAAACACTTAGAGAGAAGAATTCTTGAAGGGGCCACCATCTTTGTGATGTTTCAATCGGCGGAGATCTTTGCTTGTAAAAACTTCAAAGGAAATAGGATGTCTTTGTACGTGGATCGAGTGACCCCCCACTGAAAACTATGCTAATTTCCACTTGTATTGGTTGCAAAGTTACCGCTGACATACGCCAAGCGATAAAAAGATGAACTTAGAAAGATATCGATATCAGGTCTCTGTTAGGGCGTAAGCCCGACGACAATCTTTTTGCAGTTACAGAGGCAAGTAATAATAGTATATCTGAAGAAGGGCGATACAGTCTTATTACCATAATAGGACTGAGTGGAGTCCAATTCTGTCTGTAATTATACGATTGATTATCAAAATTGGACGACCGCGAAGCGGGAGTCCAATTTGTCAATCACGAATATGATTACAGAAAGAATTGGACCAATACGACGCCTCACTTTGTGTTATACATAATTGAATTATCCCGCATTCGGCCTTGATTATCCTCATACAAACAAGCACAAGACGCGAACGGTAAAACTTGCAACCACAGTAAAGGCCTTTCGTTGCTGATTAAATAATATTACGTAGCAAGATGTGATGAAACAGACCAACGACAAATTTGACACCCCACTCCAACCCAATGCTGATGTTGATACTTTAGACTATAAATTCAATCCGGTAATAAGAGAGAACATGGCGAGTTACCACAGCTGTTTCTACTTTTTTCCGAGGGTTTCAGTGGCAAAAACTTTTGTCTCCATGCCCACCCTTGGAAAGGCAAGGAATTGTTCTGACTAAATAGGAGGAGAATAAACTAGCACGTATCTGATCCAGCAAATCGTCTTTATTTTTTTCAAGAAATCTAGACAATGCAAGCGGCGATATTCCACGTTATTTCAATAATTTATCAATACCAAGAAAGTAATTTAGTGAAATAACTGTTGCTAAGGCTGTTTCCACGTGCATTAAGCCCCAGACCTATCAGTAGGAAAATAAGAAAGCCCGATTCTGAACTTTCGTCTTTCGAAACGAAACGAATTCAACGTACACTCCTAAAAACCAATACTCATTCAGTTTTCGAGAACGACAACCTATTCTTCTCAGAGAATTCAATCATTAAGTGGAAGACAAACAATAATTCTACCAATATTTTAACTATTTTCCGGCTTTTAGAACTGAAATCAGATTTCACACTAACCCTGGGTTATATCTTAACACAACTTTGAACAATCTGGCGCGGGAAGTTTAATATTAGACTAACTTAAAGTTGTATTTATTTTCCAGCTGACAGAATAAACGTCAGTAAATTTGATTCAGCGTTACTATCAGCTGTTAAACTCTCGTTCCTCACAGGTAGGTAGCACAAAACTGCGTTATTATTAACCCTTCTAAGATTCTCCCATTCATCTAAAGGCACAGGATACACTTCTCCTAGTGAAATTCTTATCCCAATATATCAATTGGAAAACTATTGCTGATGAAATACACACTTCCCTCTATTTCCACCGCACCGAAATTGTTTTCAGGAATATGGCATTGATTAACATAAGACCACTTGTTGTCTTGGTCATCATAAACTTCAATTGGGGCTGCACTTGACCCATTGGGTATGCCAGAACTGCCACTAATAGAACTCATACCCTCTGCAATACATAGTTTCCTGTTTACTAAGAATAAACTGGATCTAAAATGAGCACTTTTAGTTAATGTCTTACATTTCCTTTCATTCCTTTCGGGATCAAAACAACGATCCATGCTCCAGCTCGAAGACCCGTCTTTAAAATAAGTTTTTTTTTCCTTTGTCCTTGAAGTAAAAACAAACATGAGTTGTCTGGGGAAACAACGGACGCTTTACCACAAATTGTATTCGAACAAGTTCCGTCGATGTAAAATAGTCTTATACGCTGTCATCGATTTGTGTTTAAACTAAACCTCTGGGGTGACGTTGATCCCCTAATTGCATAGATGTAATCACCAATAGAATATAAGGAATCGATCTCATGCTTACACCCTGAAATAAGTGTTAATGACCCTCAGATATCAGTAACTGTCATAATGATACGCAATGGCATCTTTCCCCTTTTGTGCCGTTCCATACAAGTGATTACCAATATATTCTGCACAAAAACACGTGTCTGCCTCATTCAATTGAGCCATGGATGATAGAAGTTTTCATTTTTTGGTTTGAAAATTAAAGTACTGCATCTGGGCTTAAGGAAAAATGGCCACATCAACCTATCAAGATGAGACCAAAATGATCGAAACAAACAAAAACACCGACCTGTCACAACGAACGCTGGAGCAGATCAAGGAGTGGTTTGGGTAGTTCGGGTCGAAACTACTGAAAAACTTAATTGAATATGGTGAAAAGGGTTACATTTTGGTGAGTTAGAAAACCTACCCTAATACAGATAAGTTTGAATTAAAAATGTATCATTTTAATATCTCATCATATCTTATCGTACGTAAAGCAGATTTACCCTCGTCAAATGGCGTTTCAAAACAGCTGTATCTTCCTCCTTTTGATTTTTTCCTGTTTTGTAAGCGTGAAAGCAGTAGGAGAGGGATCGGGAAACTCAGAAAGCGCTTCGGGAATTAGTCTGCCATCGTTTACTTACAAGATAAACAAGTAAGATTTGTGAAGTTCGTTGAAGTACGAAGTCTAAATAAATGCCTTTTTTAAGCTTGTTTGCTGGATTTTTCGCAAACATCTCTGATTAGTTTTTCGTTTCAGCTTAGTAATCTATACTATTTCAAAGCAATGTAAAGACGAAGACGGAGAACCATGAGTCGGTCCTTTCAACAATCGTAAACAAAGTGTTTGAGCAATCAGGTATACGGGGTGTAATAATCAATAGCCGCACATTAGAAGTCTTCGGAAAGAAAGTATTCTGTCTTCAGAAGGCTGTCAAGAAAGCTAGTGATCGTGGCGGAAGGCAATTAAATGCGCTTCTTAGCAAGTTGGAAACGGGCTTTCGGTATCGATTTAATATCATATCGATCTCAGTATCATACAGTTTTGTACAAATGTTCGTCGCACTGGGGAAAGAGTTTGATATGTAAAGTAATATTTGTTTTGACAATATAATGAATACTCAATTTATCACTGGCTGCTTATCATGGCTGATTCAGAGAGTGCCGTTAGAGACAGTTAACACCTCCAGCCATTCGCAAAATTTCTAACAAAAATATCTATTACTTTTTTAGATCGACATTTTCCTCGGGGTTGCCGTCGTGACTGCCTAACTTCTCTTCTCGGCCGTCACATACATAGTCCAGTTTTGTCTCAGGGACCAGTCACCGTTTATCTCCTAGGCAAGAGGGGAGGGGGGGTAGGCGCGAGTCAGTGAGGATTTTTGGGGATCACATGGTTTTCAGGGGGATCAAAGGGGGGGAATTATAGTCTCCGCCAACGGAGCCTGATAGAAAATGAACTACTAGAAAACGCCTGCCATGTTGGTGTATCAAATCAGTCCTGCGGGATTTGAACTCTTTTTTATGACCCTTTTTTATGTGAACACTTTCTTTTGTTTTGATAAATCTCAGAGCTGCTTACCACGTGGTTAGGACCTTCAACAAGAAAAAGGACACTAATTATAGTGTTTCTCTCAAACATTAAGGTAGATTTATTCAATACTCAAATGCTTTACAGGAGGCTTGGAACAGATTTAGATTTTACCAGTAGTCTTAACTGCTGGTCTAACATAATCTGATAAGTCTAACAATGCAGCTTTAGGGTTAAAGCCAAGTAAAATTGTAATTTGGCGAGGTAATCTACAATTATGAAAATACACAGGTCTTTGTACGTCTTCGATATTATTGCCTGCATCATGTTGCAGAATTCCACACTGCGCTAAGGAAAATCTCTGCGAACCGCTGGTTCGACAATTAACAGGACTGTATCTTTTCGCTTTCTTGCATTTATTTATGATCCATACAATATCCGTAATTTCTACATTCAATCGATCTCGATCGTCTGTTATAAGACAGTGATTCTATTCATCTACTATTACAACGGAAATGCACGCCTAAACTACGAAAAACCAAGATTAACATTACATATTAAAATCCCAAGCTATTTCCTGTTAACTTGATTTTAACAGCTGTTTACCATTATACGCCGATCAACACTTCAGTAGCACGCAGTATTAACGGCTCAAATGACACATAATACAACGTCACAGGACGTTCCAACCCAAACGCGCGCGTACAATTTCTTTAGACAATTCCTTATCTAATTATTTCAGATTAGTATTATTTTTCTATATCACTTCTGCTGTGTGCAATCCAAACATTCTTGCTACAAGTCTATCATTACCGTGCTACGCTTAATTTTTCATCTAAATCTTAAGTAACGCAACTGTCATCAAACCCTTAGCTTACATGATTAAATTAGAAAATAAAGTATCACGCGATACGCTTACAAGATTGTCGCGACACATCAAAGACCGGACACCTTTCTAAATAACTTTCTGTTTACTTTTCAAAGATTTCTCTGCAGTGAGAGAATTAACTCAAGACTGAGTTTGCCATATTTAACGCTTTAACTTTCTGAAGTGAAATATATGCGAGTTCATCTCACAGTTTACTGAATTTCATTATCAACTAAATGGGGGCTGAGACACGGGCTTGAATCCCGAAACGGCCGACGAAACCTTACGTTTTTCAGGCTTGATTTTCTGCAATTTCTTTAATTGCAGTACACCTGGCATTTCGCTACTTTTTCGATCATCCGCAGGCCACAATATAGCTTATTTTCACTTAACCCTGAACATATTCCGCAACGGAACAACTAACACATAATTTGCCTCGCTCTTAACGTATGGCTTCCTAGCTCGGTTGGTCTGAATTACGCTCAACTCGTAACTGAAAGGGACGGGTTTCTGCATTTACTTTTGATTATAGTTCACCCGCAGTTATCACTTCTTTGCTAAACAGACAAACTTATCAACGAGAAAGTATTTTCTTGATATGTACCTATTTTCTCTTCTCGAACACGCATTGTACAACGGTCTTTTTTTAAAAGTGATTT